TTTTGTTTTTTCTTTTAATGAAATTATATTTTTTAACTGATGTTACCGTTAACACGTCTCTTACCAGCTTCGCAGAAGTTTGCCTTTACGTCCGCAAATTTGCGTTTGTTTTACCTTCACGTCGTCAATATTTATTGTTTGTAGGTTTTTGTGTGACCGGTGATATCATAATCGAGTTTGGTACGCAAACTTATAATACAAATATGAAAATATGCATAGCTACATACATACATACATACCTATGTACATAAATACAAATGTACACATCGTCGCCTGGGTAACAGATTGTCGTATGTTACGTACGTACGTATGACGCTTACGACAATCTCTTACCCAGGCGACGACATGTATATCAACTTTTTTAACTATTTTTAAGTTTAATTGATGTAAATAAAATAACAAGTATTTGTTTTGTTTATGTATACATATGCATAAATATATACATACACTGCCGGAACAAAGTATTGGCACAGCAAATTTTTCACAATATGTATATGCAATAATTTTTATTCTAATATTTTCCCGCTAATTTTGTATAAAAATATGGTTCATTCTACAACAAAAAACATAAAAGTATAATTCCTAAACTTTGTGTAAAACTAGCGAAAATTCAGCAAATTTTCATGAAAATTTTAAACTTTTTAATCAGATTTTTTAGAATTTTTTGAGTACTCAGATTTGTAGCCCAATCAATTTTATTGTAATAAAGTGCAAGTTTAAAGTAGCTAGGAATTACCATTGATTTTTGGAATTTTTTTTTCACGCAGTATCTTCCATACAAAAATTTTTTTTCGAAAATAGTTTATATGGAAAAATGCAAAACACCTCCAACAGAAAAAATTCTCAAAAATGAACGCGATTTTTGATTAACTCCGAACTTGCATTATTTACTAGAATTTAATTGGCTGCAAAACTGCATATTAGAATAAAAATTGTTGCCAATACTTTGTTCCGGCAGTGTATATGTATATGTATGCATCTAGAAGTGTTCTCGTTATACATATTTACATCTCCATACATACTTACATGCATATGTATGTGTGTATTGAATTAGCGCCTGAATTTTGAACAACAAATTCAAGTATATAAATTAAATTATGAAATTTCCTTCACTTTTACTCTCTCTCTCTCTGAGTCGCTATTTCGCTCTCCTGAATAAATAAAATAATTTGTTTACCTTGACGATAATTTATTTCTTTATGATGCAGTCTGTATATATGTATGGGTTGTCTTTAAAAATATAAACATCATATTTTTTTCTACGTACAAAATAAAGATATTTTAAACAATATTTTAGGGGTCGCTACAAAAAAAAATTAACTTTTTTATCACAAAAATTCAAGAAAATTTTGACTTTCACCAGTAATAATTTCGCGAGTTTATGTATATATAAGAATAAGTTTCAATAATATATCAAATTTATAAGATTTCAATAAATTTTTAATTTTTCAAACCCTGCTAGCGACCCCTAAAATTTTGTTTAAGAATTTGAAATTTTGTTTAAAATTTTGAAATTTTCGTGGATGTCTTTATTTTGTAGTTTCAGTAATGCTTTGTCAAAAATTACAGATTTCAATTAAAATTTTTTTTTCAAATTTTTTGTTTTTTTTATTTAAATTTTTTCAAACGATGGTAGCGACCCTTAAAAATTTGTTCAAAATTTTCGGCAATGTCTTTATTTTGTGTGTAGAAGAAAATAAAGCGTTGCCGCATACAAAATTTAGTTATTGGAATTTTTTAATAACCACCCTAATATACATCTATTATGTAATACATACATAGGTACATACATTCATACAAATGTAACTACTAAAAAGTTTGTTTTTTTATCTTTGTGTTTGTGTTAATATTATACTGATGAAATGCTCTTATCAATGACCTGTTAAATTTATAAATAAGTGAATACATCATCACAAAATTAAATGTTATCAGCAATTTAGCACAAAAAGAAAATATAATAACAAAATTCCGTTTTAACAAATTCGCATGAATATTTCTTGAAACAGCTGATTAAACTCGGCACTAATAATACAGAAACAATAATAAAATAAAATTTTTGGGAGGTGAGACTTTACTGTGGGTGTTTTCTCGACAAATTTCAGCAAATGTTGCTTTAGCCTTTGATGGGTGGTAAATCTACATACATATTTATATCTGTGGACATTGGAAAGAACAACTGAAGTCTATCTTCACGGACAAACAAAATAGCATATGTATGTCTATAAAAGTTTCGCAGCGCAGTCGGCGTAAAACTAAGAACGTAAGAAGGCGCACGCCACAAATCGAAGGAGAAGCGCGGCCAATCACTGACATGTTGTGTAAGCGCCAATCTATTATTATTATTTATGGCATTTTCTTTTCTGTTGCCTTATTATTGCCCTCTAAATAGAATTTATGCGAAGAGGGCACTTAGAGAAGGCAACATTTTTTGGTAGAAAAAAAAAATCCCATTAGACTTCACAGTACATACGCATAATTCTATGCACGTTACTGTACATTTGTAACTGTCCGTCCATATACAAGCAAATATCCACACTTATTTGTGTACCTATATATTCACGAGGTTTAGGTGTCGGGCGACTTGGTAACAAGATTTGGTTTAAATGCACTCATTGCTTTTGAATTTACATTGCGCAGGGGCGTCACTGCTAAGTATTGGTAGTGGCGGTGGCGGTGCCGGAGATGCAACTGGTGCAAAACCATATATGGCGATCGAATAATTGGCGACAGCGAAGTTTTATTCCAGTATATATACATGCATATGGCTGGTGTTTTTTTTTTTTTTATTATCGATTGACGTTCCGCGGGGGATTTCCTTGGAAGTAGTTTGGCATTTACTGGTTTTTTATATAAAATTAAATAAATTGAGATCAGCAGTACGCTCTACTCTATTATTAAGGTTTACGATCAGATAAATGGTAAAATAAAAAATAAAAAAATGTGTGTTTGATCACTTACATACTACATTTCGGAGCAGTTAGGGGAAAAAGCGCGCACAAACGAGACACAGAAAGGAGAAAGTTTCAGCTGTACTTTATGTATGCTTAAAAGGTTAGAAATACCTGTTCATTTCAAATTCATCTATTACACCGTGCGACAAAAATCAAAATTTTTTAAAAGATACGTACAAATCAATATATTCACAAAACCAGGAATCGCATATAGTATAACTGCATTTTTAATTTTTCTCTCTGATGTCAGGATTTTTTTAAAAGGACTTTGAAATTTTTGAGATTTGGTGCATTGTAGAGTAACAATATGGGTGTCGTTAAAAGGAAAATTTCTGTAGAAATAAAAAAAATTAATTTTTTGGTGCGCCAGGACGAATAAGTGTTGAAAATGTCCTTTTAGAATCTTATCGTTGAATATCCTTGAAAATTTCCAATATTTACTTTGAAAAAAATATATATCAAGGACTAATATGTAGTTTTAGTTTCAGATAAAAAAAATTGTACACTTCTCTTATAAGATATTGATAGTTGCAATATACATAAATGAAGATACTGGAGATGGGCCATCCTCAGTGAGAACAAAAAATGACAAGCAAACACGAAAATTCGTTCCTAAATATGTACATCATACTTACGGTGACCATATTAACCAACGTAAAATAAAGGACATTTTTTTCAAAATGATTTAGGAATACATACATACATACAGCTTGTATGATAAAAGTACTTTCCCATATCGTAATTTAACTCAAATATTTACCAGTTAATTAACCGATTTCGAAAAATTAAGCCAAATCATTTTCAAGGACTTCGCCAANTGACCATATTAACCAACGTAAAATAAAGGACATTTTTTTCAAAATGATTTAGGAATACATACATACATACAGCTTGTATGATAAAAGTACTTTCCCATATCGTAATTTAACTCAAATATTTACCAGTTAATTAACCGATTTCGAAAAATTAAGCCAAATCATTTTCAAGGACTTCGCCAACCTTTGCTACCAAAACGCGTTTACCATAATTCATACTGCATGCCAAAGGCAGCATACATAGGTACAAAATTGATATTTAATATTCATAATTCTTCGGAGCCTTGATTTTTCAACCACTTTTTACTAAAAACAAAAAAAATATATATATTTATTTTGGTGAACATTTTTTTATATCATTTCAAACATTCTGTTTTTGTGTAATTTTTTCGTTTTAAAAGAACCATACAATTGTTTTCAACTAGTTTTTGTTATGTAACATTTATTAACTGAAACAGGAGAATACTTTTTCTTCAAAATTGCCACTTGCATTTTGCACCAAAAAATTTATTATAATCAAACAAAAATTCACAAATTAGGCCCAACTGATCTCTTGCAAATATTGTAAGCCTTCATAAAAAAAGGTAATCAAATTAAGTCAAAAATGAAGGCTCCAGGAACCACTGTGCAACAGGGGGTTTATTGTTCACTTTCAGTGGAACTGGAAACTCAGCGTGCAACACGATCCTGGACACAACTTTCCCTGCGCTAATAGATTGTACAAAGATTACTGATTAAATAGAAACCCTTAATTGGGTGCGAAACAAACTGGCGAAGGTTTTCTTTACATTTTATTAGGGACATTTTTATTTTTCATATTCTGTGTTTAAAAATTTACCTCTGAAAAATGCAGAGCTGATTTAAAGGACAGTTTAAGAAATAAAGGACAAAAGGCGTCCTTTATTTTGAAAAAAATTATAAAGGACAGAGGGAAAAAATAATGGGCTGTCCTTTAAAATAAACGGACGGATGGTCACCGTAATCATACTCCTACCCATTTGGAAGCATCAACAGTCAAAAGAAGACATAAGGATAAATATCTTATAAGGCGTTGCATAAAATCGCTTCAGGCTAGGAATAATTCACTCTACAATTTTTTCTATTACAATAAAACTTAAGTTAGTAATAGCACTCACGAAATTCGTTCTTAGTATAAAACATGTAATATAATTAGTTTATGGTAAATTTTTATGCTTCGCTAAATGTCACATAAATTGTCTTCTCATTTTTTCAGTGGCAACAAGCCGAGGACATCGATCAGAAAAAGGAAATTCGTTCACATTTATATAAACTACGTGAATCGCGTTTACGTGACTTATACCAGGGCGACATCATGGCTAGCAACTTCGCTAAAGATCCTTTGAATCCTTCGCACGGTGATTCGTTGGTAGGTCAAAATTTTCAAAGTTTGAAATCGAAAGAAGTGCGGGATTCAATTAGTCCCACACAAGATTTGAAGTTCCACTCAATGACTCTCAATCATCCCAATACAACGGGATGGGATGTGCAAACCTCATCAGAGGTGAGTCCAGATGGTCGCGCATACCGCACTGAAACCTTAGCTACTACAGATGGTAAGTCTCTCTCTTTCCCGTTTAAATGGTGTTACATATCTTTTAATTAATAATAAATCATACTTCTTTTACAAATCATTTTTAAAACCCATGCATGCCATTCTACATATGTACATACATTGGTATATACACATACAACATAAAACCTCATGTAATCGTTTGTTTACAGGCGTCGAGAAGATCAATGGCGGCACCGCTGAATTTCGCGGTCGTAATGAACAGCGTGCCAGCGCTTCTCATCAAGGTGATGATAAGAATTTCGTCAAGAAGGCATCGGAAAGCTCAGATACTCATTTACAAGAGCGCGTCGTAGTTGGTGATGAAAATTCTGGCCGAACCGAAATGAAGATGAGTTCGACGACAACTTCGTCCTCCTCTAATGTAACCTCTTCGTCTTCTACTGTGGAATATGGCGGTGGCGAGCCAATCGATCCGGCCAAGTACCTTGTGGATAAGACTAGTCGCCAGCACCCGGATCAACATCATCAGCAACGCCTTACGCAAGAGCAATACATTCAGCAGCAACAACAACGCCAGCAACAGTTGCAGCAAGAGGAGTTCGAACAAACCAAGCTATATCAGCAGCAACAGCATGAGAAACGCATTCAGCAGCAACAGCAGGAGCAACGTCAATTTAGCGAGGAGATCAATCGCAGTCGTCAAGAGTCCTCCACCAGTCGCAATGTGGAGACTCAACAGAAGACGGAGCAAAATAGGCGCGTAGTAGACGTGGATAAGGCATCACCGGAATATCAACAGCATGTCCAGTATCTTATGTCACAGCCTGGTGAGATCATTTCAAACACGGTAGAGTATCCGAAACCGAACGTTAAGATGATCACCACCGTTAAGCGTTTGCCGGACGGCACCATTGTAAAGAACAAACGTTACGAAACGGAAGAGTTGCAGCCTGCAGTTGAGAGCCAACGTCAACGTACTACGTCTACAACGAGCCAGAACAGTACTCAACACAAAAGCCAGCAACAGCGACGAGAACAGACCGAAGATAATATTTATGACCGTTCGCAAAATGTACGCAATGTCACCCAGCCTAGTAACACACCCAGACGACCTGAACAGGATGTCGTCGATAATGCGGAGCCATACACCCGAGTACCAAACCAACAACATTTGGTAGAATCCCGTGCCACTGATGAGGCTACTAATGTCGAAACAAAATTTTCATCAGTGAAGAAATCTAGCCGTCGATTCTCAACTGAGACCACCTCTGAAACAGTTGAAGAGTTCTCAGACCAGCCACCTTCAACACAAGCACCTGGTATTCGCGGTAAACCAAGCAGTCGTTCGCCCACACGAGACTTTTCAACTCATGGGTTTCCATCAGTAAAGTCGAATAGACCCACTCAGGAATATCCCACTGAACGACCGCATGGCGCACCACAATCGCAAACACCAGATTTTAGCACACATGGGTTTCCTTCCGTAAGGCCAAATAAACCTACCCAGCAGTATGCAAGTGAAAGACCACGTCCTGCCGATGTGGAACATCTTACTCAACAGCAGCCCGGTGCTCAGGTGCCACATGGCTTTCCTGCAGTGAGACCAAATACCAACATTACTACCACTAAAGATGGAGATATAATAATCGTTAGTTCAGAATCTACACGCAGCTCAAAGTATAAGACCAATGCAGAGCGCATTATCGAAACAGAGGTTGTGGTTGATGGTGATACCAGTGGTCGTCCGCAAAGGCTTACACATCCAGAGCCAATTGCACATCCTGGCGTGGGTTTCCCGCTGTAAAGGAAACTTCACCTGGCGCCTCTAGCCCACGCAGAGCACAGCCCGGTGAAGATTTTACAACTCACGGCTTTCCATCAGTTAGATCTCCAACAAATAGTTCCCCAGCTGCTAAACCGAGCTCAGTGCAGACTGCGCCCTCTAGCGCTGTCAACCAAGATGGCAACGTTACTGTAGTTAGTTCTGAAACAAAGAAAACAATAAAGCATAATACGAACCGGGAACACGTTATCGAAACAGAAATTCTAGGTGAAAGTGACCACCACTACTCGCCGGCAGGATTACGCCAACCGGACAAAATTACATTCCCTCCCACTCCCCAACCTTCAGATTTTAGCACACATGGCTTTCCTTCGGTAAGGGACTCTGCTCCCACTAATGATGCATATCGCCGTCAAGGTACACCAACTCGCGATCATCCAAGCAGTCCACGCAAGCCTCAACCGTCTGAAGATTTCTCCACACACGGTTTTCCATCTGTAAAGGACTCTACACCGGCAAGAGCTAGTACACCCTCTCGTGACTATCCGAGCAGTCCGCGTCAGCATCATCCCTCAGAGGATTTTTCAACTCATGGTTTCCCATCTGTAAGAACACCCAGCAAAACAGCACCAGATTATTCATTACCGAGTGGTGGCTTCCCCTCCACCAGAGATACCAATGCTCCTAGGTTGACGCCAACTCAGCCGAGGTCAACACCTACAAAAACATCTACAACCACAACAGATTCATCACAACGTCTGATTTCAAAGGAAAGGGACGTAGATGCTTCACATCGCGCTTTTGCTGCTTCTCTTCGTTGTTCCTCACCGGTGGATAGCATAGATCATCATCGCAGCTCGCCTCGTTCCAGTGTATCATCGACTAGAACATTTAGACGTGACGGACGTGAGGGATCGCACGACAGCGAAACCAGCCGCATCAGTTCGGGTACAGTTACGCGTACGTCGCCAAGTAAGAGTGTTGGTAAAACTGTCGTTACAAAGCAAACTGTTGTTAAAAATCGTAACGTGAATGGTTCTAACGATACAATTGATTTAACACCGCAGCGCCCCACAAAGTCACCTTCTCCCACGAAGAGCGTAACCACGACCACCACCACACGCACCACGACAACTAGAAAGAGTCCGGGGGAAGTGCCAAAACCAGGTACGAAATAAGTTATAGAAAGCACATTACAACTAAATGGCAGTCTATCCTTCAGATAATCAAAAATCTAAGCCAGCCGAAAACACATTTCCTATAATTAACGAACCACTAACCATCACAAAAACCCACTTTACCGCAAATGACGCCAGCTTCCTCGGAAACGAGGTGGTGGAGAAGCCATGCATAAAAAAACACTTTTATAAACTTGGTCCGTCCGACAGCGCAACACATAATGTTGACGGTAAGAAGTTATAACAAACAAAATTTGCTTGCCAAAACCGCAAACAGCACAACAACACAAATTTTTAATACACTGGAAAACCAACCTCACTTACAAATCCAGATCTTTGAAAAGACCATAACATGACATATGAAAAAAATAAAAGACATTAAAGGTCACTGTCCCGATGAAACCGAATTTCGCAAAACAAAAACCGAAATTTAAAACAAACTTACAGAACACTGAGGAACACAACAAAGTGCTTAGACAGAAATTATATATATTAAACTTATACTACTAAAGCATGCGACTTCTGCGACTATATACATATTGCAAGCAAAGGTTGCATAGTAAGCTTTTATTAACCCCCTAAGCTAAAAGTAGTGTTAACAAAGCAATAACATACATAAATACTTGTAAAGTAGTTTGGAATATCTGACTAATACCATGTAATCGTATCGTATTCACTGTCAAGGTGATTAATACTTCATTCGGTGTAATTTTCAACAGAGAAGTCACCATATTCACCAGCACCCAGTAATCATATACATCGCACTCATCCCAAATCTAAATCCCAAAATCGGGATGATTTAGAGGATGCTAACCACGAAGAGCCCATACATAATCAGCCACTAAGTTCATCAATAATAGAACCTAAACAACGTAATCGTTCACCGTCAGGACCAAAAAATAGTAGTCCACAAACCATTTGTCAACCATTGAAGAATGAACCCAGTGTTGAGCGTAGGACTGTTGTGAGAGAAAGTACATTCGAAAATACTGATTGGCAGAATACAATTTTAGATTCAGATGAAAATCAAAATCCTGTTATGGGCGATTTCCCAAAACGTACAGAGCTTACAGACGACAGTGAACATGAAACTCCACATAGAAAGGGATCACCATTCGATACCTCTGATTACCCCGGTAAAAGAGGAGTAATTGGTAAACAACCAATTAATAAAAATAAAACCGAACACGTGACAAAAGTAACCACTCGCGTAGAGAAAACACAGGCTAATGTTGATATTGAAGATACGAAACCTACTTTCGTGCCAAAGAAACCTTTGGATACAACGGGTAAAAAACCAAATGAACCTTTAAATAGAAAGCCGTTCGAGAAACACGGAGCACAGCCTGAAGAAAAAGCGCCAACTGAAAGGAAACCGACAAATATGCCTACTAGTCCGACAAGGCGAACTTCCGATGTTACAAACTCGAAAACCGCATCCACAACATCTAAGACAACACGAAAAGAAAATACTCAACACATTGAGGATGATCGGAAACCGACAAGAAAACCATCTGACTCAAATATAACTTCGAAATCGACTCATAGACAAAAACCACAGCCAACTGATGACTCAAATCGACCGAATGAGCCTGCGTATGGAAACCGGAATAAAAAAACCCCAATCGATAACAAACAACCTACAGACAGGAGGCCTGAAACTAGTTCCACTAGAAAAATAATAGAAAGCGAAACTTTTAATACTACAATAAAAAGCGAACACAACGGAGAAACATATTCCATAGAGATTGACGATCAATCTGAAAAGCCCGAGCTTGTAAGACCGGCGAACGAAAACACGGTTGACAAAAAGAAACCGATTGAAAAAAGGCCTTTAGAAAAAGATTATGTTAGAAATGATCGTAGCCCTCAAAGGACCACCTCAGACAAAAGCAGCTTCTACACCAGTAAGATTACAGTTGACACTGTAAAAACTCGCAAGAGCAATGTTTCGCCAACTAGAACGCCTGAAGATATCAAAACCACTGAACCCGTGCAGAAAAAGCCCACGAAAGATGAGCCATCAAAACAACCAAAAGGTGCTAAACTAACAAAACCAGCAAATTTTGGCGTTACACATACCTCGCCAGAGTATACAAGACCAGCACCTACAGTTGATAATGAGTCTGAACCAAGCGATGATGAACACAGCCCAACAAACAACAAAGGCCCAGCTAGAAAACCAATATTAAACGCTGGCAAGCCTGTAGACATTTCTGACGATGAGGATCAAGACCGTATTTTCACGACAACTACAATAAGAACGGTACGCTTAGATGAACCTAAATCGGCAAATCCTATAGTGACTGATGAAACTAGACGAGTTGAAGAACTTTTCAATCAAACCGATCGGACCAAAATAACAAACAATGTTAACGAGGAATTTATAAAAATCGAACGGCAAGTGAATGACAAATTTCCCGTTAATAATATACCTACAAACGATTCAAGCGGGTTAGCGCCTAATAGTCCAGATTATTGCAAGCCTACCACTAAAAAACCATTCGAACCGTCTAAAACTACCGACAAGCAAAAGCCAACTGAGGAAACTGTAGCAACGAACACAAAAATCTATGAAGAAACTATAAACATCAATTATGAAGAGCGGAAACCAAGCGAAATTGATGACAATGAACCAAAATCAAAACCACTGAAAATCGGCGATAGTGTTCATCAAGTGATTACTGACACAAATAATTCAATATCGTTTAAGCAACAAACACCCATTGTTCCAGAGAAACTCCGCGAACCAGATGAACCTAAAATTGGAGAAAGGAGCGAACCAGAGCGTGAAAAGCCAATAAAGCGACAACCAACAGATGCAATCTTGAGTGACGACGACGATCAGATAACATTCGAAACTACTACTACTAAAAAAGATGTTATATTGAAATCCGTAGATGTCGAAAAGACTAAGTTTAGCGAACCGAAAAACAGGGAGCCATCAAAGCCGGTTGAAGGAAAAGGAGCGCCAAAGAAACCTGAAATTGATCGCAGTCCTACAAGAAAACCAAATGAGCAGATAACTGTAAAAACTACTACCACCAGGACCACTAATATTGTTGAAGGGAAACCACGCACGGATAACAATCGGCAGCCAGATGAACCCATTGATGAACCGGTCGATAGAAAATCTACTTTAAATGAAACTAAGCGAGTCGAAGAACTCTTCAAAACAACCAATAAAACTACAAACATCAATAATAATTATAACGAGGAATTTATTGCGATTGAAAGTCAAACTAAGGAGACTCCAGATGGAGCATTCTTCTCCAAAGCACCTGAACCGGAACCTGTCTCCCCAAGCTTTAAGAAAAAGGGCGTTAGCCCCAGAGAAACATTTGAGGATCGTTGTCGTCAAATTCTTGGAATGGAAAATTATGGTGACACCCCAGGCAGTTACAATAAAAAACCAGAAGATGAGTCTGATGAAAAAGCGCCACTTACCGAAAATATCACAAAGTTCGAAGTTAAAATTGAGGATTGTGATGACGATGAGCCCAATTATTTAAACAATATTAAAGAGGCCCTTAAACCGCTTGATAAGCCCAAAACTAACAAACCCAATGATGTTTCCAATGAGGAAATTGTTGAGGAAATTGAGTGTATTCGCAAAGAGACGGTAGTACCCTTTAAAGACAGTTCTCCAGAAAGGAAAGTCCCAACTAAAGCTACACGTAAATCAACACTGCTGGTTAAGAAAGACATATTGGATGAAGATGAGTGTATTACCAATAAGAGAACATCGAAGATTGTAAAGAAAGTAACCAAAGGGGGGAAGATTGAATATGAAGAGCCAGAGGAGTCTTCAACGAGTGAATCGGAATCTCCTGAAAAGGAAACGGATGAAGAATCTCAGCCAGATACTGTTGTATCAGAGAGAGAGATGCAATATACCGAAGAATTCCAAATCGAAGAACGCACAGAAAAGAAGCAACCGTTGAAACCCAATAGAAAGCTGCCTGGTCAAAAAACTACATCTCCAAATACAAGTCCGACTAGGAAGACATCTGAACCTGCAACTGGTGGTAAAAAGTCGCCTTTGAAGCAATCCCCTTCAAGACCGTCTACAGTTACAACAAAAGTAACTGTTGAGTCGAAGCCTAAAACACGCGAGTCGAACACGTCAACTACCAGAACCGTTACCAACACTACGTCAAACTCTAAATCGCCTGAAAATCCGGAGAAACGTGATATTGTTAAAAAAGATAAGCCAATATCACCATCAAAGACGCGGCCCGAACGTGTTCAGAAAATAGATACACCTACAACTGCCGATAAGCCACATAAAAAGCCAAGCAATGAGTCTCCCAATTCACCAATTAAAGATCGGCTACGTTCTTCAACCCGGAATAAGAAACCTTCTATCACGGAGTCCGACTCTTCACCCGAAATGAGTCCAACTCGTCTTACAGAGCGAAGACGTTCGAGTAACATTTCGGTGCACACAGAAATCATTATTGATCACACGGGTCCGAAATCGCCTAAGCCAACCGAAAAGACGCCAGAGAAACACAAGTCCCAGCCCAAGAAAACCGTTCCGGAAGATATAATTTCACCGACAAAACCATTCCGAAGATTCCCCGTCACTGAGCGAAAGGAGTCTGCTCCCGTGCCCAGTGTGTCACGCAAGGATAAGGACGTAAAGATGACTCGCTCAACAAGCGAGAAAGTTATGAAGGTTACTGAGAAACCAGTGAAGAGAACAGAGGTAGACGCAACAGCACACAGTCCAACACCGAAAACTGATCGAAGACCCAATAAATGTTTTACCACAAAAACCATAAATTTAACCACGACTGACAAGCTAATCAACAGTGAAGATATGGAAAACGTCATCATTGATATACAGCATGCGAAGAGTTCTCGTGAGCCATCACCAGATAAAATTGTGCCAACACCAGTACCGGTACATATAAATACTGGCAAGCCACGTTACCCAGATGTCGTTCAAGAGCCGGAGGATGAGCCACGAAAAAAACCTGTCATCAAAAACATACCGATTTTAGAAGAAGAATCCAACGAATTCATTAACTGCCACATATCGGAGGTGAAAACGGAAAAGATTTCGAAACTGATAGACCTGGAAGAAGATGATATATTAGATAATCCCACAATCGAAGCTCCTCAAAGTCTTGAATACCCATCCATCGATAGACCTGATGATGATTGCCTTTTGAGTGTTCACGAAAAGGTTTCCAAGTTTACACATACAGCTGAAGAAATTAAAAAACCAAAAGCGTCCAGTCCATTCAGCAGAGAATTCGATAAAACGCCTAAGGTGCCAGATAACGATGACTGTTTGTTGACAGTTGATGAAAAGGTTAACAAGTTCATAAAGACAGCAGAAGAGGTGGTGAAGCCAATCACAACAGTAAGGGAGATTGAGCGACCAAGCCTCACCGACTTGGATGAAGAATTGCAGAAGGATGACTGCACTTTGACTGTCTCACAAAAAGTAAATAAATTCTTAAGCACCGCAGAAAAACTGGCACCCACTGTTCCACAAAGGTCACCCGAATTAGTGGCGAAAATTGAACGAACTATTTCGAAACAAAGCGAGCCCGAGTATCCCGAAGATCTTAGTGATGAAGAATTAACGCCATTTTCTCAAAATCACACTATCGAAATTGAGAAACGACGCCAGAAAGATATACTCGCTCGGCCAACAGTATTTGAAAGCACCACAAAAGGCAACCGAAATGTCGAGTACGTAGAAGAGGAAGTATTTATTGACAGAACCGCTGCTGGGCCCGAAAGTGATGAAGTAATTCCGCACACAAGGGATCATACAACGAAAATTGAATTAAAACGTCAGAAGGACATTTTATCCAGGCCCTCAATTTACGATAAGAACGTTAAACCTAGACCACAATCGCCTAGCAAGAGAGAGCCTGTAGGCTCTTGTAGGCCACAGCATCCAATAACGACCAATGCAAAGCAAACAGTGTACACTACAAAGAAAATTAACTTGCAAGATAATGAAAAAATTGAGTCCAAGAGCGTAGAACGTAAACCTTCGCATTCGGCAACTAAACCTGAAAATTATAAAAGTCCCACAAAACCTCAAACTTCCACAGTTGCTGTGACCAGGTCTCGTTTTGAAACTTCTGATAAGAAAAAACCAACATCCAAATCCACTATAGAACCAAAAGTTAATAGAGTTCCGCTTTCAAGTACCACTGGGCGTAAACCAGGCACTGATCCGAAAGCACCTGTGCCTTCAACAACTGCCCGACTGCCATCAACGACAGCATACACGAAGTATCCTTATTCAAACAGGCATAAGCCATTGAATGAACCGAACTCAGGGCCACGTAAACAATCCACAGAGCCTGATAGCCATTATCCAGAACGTAAACCATCTGCTGGATCTCTATCTAATGTTCATGACTACGAAACTATTGAATCCGAAACAGAGTTTGCATCAACAACACGTCGCAGAAGCTCTTCAAAGACAAAAGATTACTTGGAAACCGTACAAACTGAAATCGAAAGGTTTTCTCCGACACAAAAAGAACCCATGCGAAAGATTCCCTCACAGGAAAAACAAAAACCCCAAACTTTCTCACACAGTCCTACCCAAAAAGATACAAGAAGCACCATCACTAAAGTTGCCCAAGTAACCGAACGCACAATTGAGCACAGTTCACCCTCAGATTGTTCTGACATAGAAATCGTTGAAACCGTTCCAGAACGCCCCACACAAGTCAAAACTCCAACTTCTACGCCCACAATTGGTCGCACTCGTATAGCAGCCGATACGGTGGCTGCTCGACGTAATATTTTCGAAAGCAACGCTACACCGAAGGTACAAAGGCCTAGCGGAAGCGACGGTTCACCGTCACCCGTTGGTCGGCGACCCTCTTATATGGATCACACAGTCAGCTCTTTGGAACACATTCGCCGTGATTCCCTAGAAGTAAATAAACACAATTACTCACGCAAGTCCTCGTTCGAATCGGAAAGCAATTACGAACGACGACCAAATGCTGCTGTGAAGTTTGATGTGCCTCAAAAGCCCCAACGTACAGCGAGTATTTCCGAAGACATCGATGTCGAAAGTATTTTCGAATTAGAAGTATTGGAGCGTCTATTAGAGACAGTAACTTCATATGAGCTGCGACGCCGGATCCGGGCACAAATACGTTTGGTTAAGAAAAACATACTCAACACTGAAGTGGTTGACAAAAGGAAAACCGAAACTAAAACATCTAAGTCCATTAGCTCAACTCATAAAACATCTACTTACACATCAAATGTACATCACGAAGAAACTGACACAATTCATGAGGATTTGAAAACGAAGAGGCCATACGAGAGTAAGCCCAGCCCAAAACGTCCGACACCAACAACAAAGAGTGGCCGAGTATCGGAAATCGAAGATATACCAAGAAAATCTCCATACGATCGCAATGAAAGTCCGAAACTATATGGCAAATTTCGTCGAGAAGAAGAAGTTACCACAAAGACTACGACTAATGCTAAAATACAGAACGGTCGCAGCGAAAGCCCTAAACGTCCTACGAAAACAAACCATGAACGGCAACCAAGTCCCGAAACCAAGTCGCCCCAAGGATCCGTAAAAGGGGTACGTCATAGAGCAGATTCATCGATGTCTTCCACACATAAAGAGTTTATAAGAAGCGAGCAGAGAAACTTCTCTGAAGAGACATTTAATAGCTCTCGTTCGGAACGTTTCGAGAAAGAGGAGAGCCGCGAGCGCAGTTATAGTCCTGAATCTAAAAGTCCTGCAAGGGACGGCAAACAAAGTCCTGATTATAAAACCAAACCTGCAGCTGGCACACGTACGAAGAGTCCTGAGGCCAGAAAACCATCCTTCCCACGCTCGCCAAGTCCCCAAGGCAGAACACCCAAACAACGTGACGAATTGTACACGATCTCGAAAGTAACGACAGTTAAAACCACACGCTCACCAGAACGAAAATCAAGTAAACCGACCGTTGAAGAAAATGCACCTATTTGGGTAGACCGTAAAAATTTGCTCAAGAGTCCTAGTAGCACACCGCGTACGCCGCGTAAGGCGCCAGCTGCGCCGTCCGCGCGCACTACCGCAACGAAGGCTACAACAAAGACAACGAGTCAACGACAAGCTCAGAACAGAAACTTCGAAGAGGATTCGATCACTTCGAGTTATGGCATTGGGCCGACAGACGAAAATGGTTTGCCGTTATTCGGTATAAAGGCGCTAAAAAAGAAGAAACCAAGCCAACCCTGTGAAGCAACCGAAGGTAAGTGGGAAGCTGGTGGGTAGTAAATAAATAATTTTGAATTATTATTATTATTATTTTTTTTTTAATTTGCGTAGAAGTCACAGGCTATGTTATCGAGGAGAAATATTATTCTGATAACAAAACAAAGCCGAAAGTCGAAAGGAAGGAATACATTTATTCGACAAACGCAGATGAACTCGAGGAAATCAAAAAAACTGTTGAGCAGAGTAGAAAATCATCGCAAAATGATGTGGATGTTATCAGGAAATTCGAGAAAATCGATAAGGACTATGTAAGTTGATTATACGACTTTTTCACATTGCATCATTCACTATTTTTACGTATCGAATACTCGTAAGGTTTTTGAAACACCAGAGGCAATACAGCCAGATTCAGAAGACTTCACCACATCCAGCAAATATGTGCGCCGTGGTTCTGTGAAAGAGCTGAGTGAGAAATTCGTACGGAAAGAGTCCTCGCAATCGACAACAGAAAAGTCAGGTGGCTATCCAAAAGCCGGATTGATATTGCGCACCAGTCGTGCACCTTCAACAGACCCCAGTGGAGGTAAATGAAAATGTGAAACTTTCGCGCGATGAGCTCCTTCTAATTTGAGTATTGATATTTTTTCTTCTAGATGCATACGAAACTACTACGGAAAAATACACCAGCACATCACGCAGCGGTCATGGCTATCGTTCGACGGAAGAAGCAGACTCGGACGATGAACACAATGTGCAGCTTCGTCAAAAGCAATCGCGACGCATTTTCACTGAGGGCACTGAAGACAACGAAAGCGATCAATGCCATTTGAGTACACGCTCGTCGACCAAGTCTACGCGCTCCTTCCTGAACAGCAGCGGTGAAACTAAAGTGGTAACAAGCGTAGACGATGCGTTGGAGCGTATGCGTAACGCGGACTATGGTGAGTTTTTGAAAATAAATACATATTCGTGCTTGAAAGAAAGCTTATTGTGATTTCGTCACTGCAGTGGTGGAAGCTGGCGATACTGCTGAGGATAGGGAGGCGCGTTCATTGCTGAATAAATTTTTAGGTGCCAGTGTCATAATGAGTGGTGTGGAAAGTGTTTTACCGACAACGAAACAAACAACAACTACTACGATTACTAAAACTTCATACGCGGATGACGATGACGACAGCGATCTACTGAAGAACAAAGCGGTAAGTTTGAAGAGTGTTTTAGAAATGTTTTAGTTAAATAATCAGATGTTCAACTGCATGTCGGTCAGTATATTCAAATTTTTGAATCTCGAATCGTGGAATCGGCCAACAGACAAATTTCCAGGGGGTCTCCTAAACTTGAAAAAAAATATGAAGGTTTTCAAGCGCTTAATAAATATTGTCGGCAGTTTGACAGCTACATTTTCCTTAGTGCGAAAACTACGTGACTTACTTGGATATGAAATGCAAGTTTTGAAAGCGATTAAATCCGGCAAAAGTACTTGTTAGATGCCATCTTACAAATGCTTTTATCAAGATAAAAGATGCACACGCATATCAGGCAATAATTTTTGCCAGTGGAGACGCAAAGTTAGGATGAAAACAATTTTTTTTATCGATCTGATTTTTATTCACTAGTTCATGTTTGCCTTTATTAGTGCCACGATTCCATAAAAGGTCTTCATCGAAATTTTCTCACCACCTTATTCACACTTTCTCTACTCTATCGATTGTAGCTAGCACCCATCGTGTCTGCATCAATTGTTCATAAATTCGTACATTAGCTCAGATTTAAATGCAAAATAAATGCTCTTCTCCACCTATACATGCACTTAAGTACACAGATTAGGGTGCCTACCAAAAACATAAAAAATTACCGCGTAACGTAAGCGAACCATAAAATTTGTTGTTTTGTCCCACAAAAATAGTTCTTCGCAATTGGATGTCATTCGCGGACTGGAAATTTCTCTAATAACGTATTTTTTGTCGTTAGGTGTAAAATTTTTTAGTAGATGCCTTTGGTGGTAAAAAGATTTTTAAACTTTAGGTATCTGACATGAAAGCGAATACGAATACGAAGACGGCGACGACGACGATGACGACGACTACGACGAAGGCGAATAACAAGACGAATACGAAACCAAATTCGCAGAAGAAAAGGAATTCGAAGAAAAAAAGTATACGAAATCGAGTACGAATACGGAGATGAATGCGAATGCGAATTTATTGACGATGAATACAATGACGAATATGACGAATATGAATACAAAGAGATAAACGAAAACGAATACAAATACGAAGACGGGGACGGTGACGTATATGAAAACGAAAAAGAAGTCAAATACTCAGACGAATACGAAAACGAAGGTCAAAACGAATACGAAGATGTACGCGAACATAAGGACCAATACGAACAAGAATATGAAGACGAGACGAAAAAAAGCAGGAATCTGAAGACCAATATGAATACGAAGACGAACAATAAGGGGAATATGAAATAGAATACGTATATGAAGACTAAGGATGAAGCTAAAACAAATGATTTGGCACCAAGCGATGTTTTGTTTACTTTAAACAGATTTTTATTTGGCGATTTTTTCGATTGAATACGCTTTCGTTATGCACTTCACAGATGCTTTTTCATAGCGCGGAAACACAAAACAAAAATTTTTATAATAATTTTAACATGTTGCGTCTGGAGGCAAACAAATAATTAGCAAGTACCTCTGCACACTCAGCTACATCTAAAGTATGTAAATGCTCAATTTTAATTATGTAAATTTCTTACAAGCATTTAAGCAAAATTGGTTTGGCATTAAAAACACATTTAATTTAAAATACTTTTTCTTTTAAATTTTTTTTTTTGGAAAAACCAAAAAAAAAGTAATTTGAAAAAATCTTTTTTTTTTCTTGGAGCAGGAATGAACCGAAGGAAGTTTAATTTCAGTTGTGTGGCTAAAGCGCACGAGATATTTAATTTTGAGTCTGGTTTTTTAAGGTCGCATATTGTTTTTTTATTTGGTTCCAAAAATTTCTGTAAAAATAATCTTTTTTAAAAGCTTTTGATCGTCAGACAAGGGATATATTTTTTTTATTTTTCAACCATAAAAACTCTCCGTAAAGAAACAGAATAAAAAAAAACAGATAGCAATTTTTTTTATTCTGTTTCTTTACTATCTTGCTATCTGTTTTTTTTTATTCTGTTTCTTTACGGAGAGTTTTTATGGTTTAAAAATAAAAAAAATATATCCCTTGTCTGACGATCAAAAGCTTTTAAAAAACATTGGCCCGTAGTCATAGTCAAAATAAAGTCGACTTTAAAGTTAGTTGCAGCTTTTTGACATAATTTTCAATGGGATATCTGTCAAAAAAGCTGCAACTAACTTTAAAGTCGACTTTATTTTGACTATGACTACGGGCCATTATTTTTACATAAAGTTTTGGCCGTTAAATTCTAATCAAGGCGAATTCTACTAATACAATAATTACTTGTATTTTGTTTTTGCTTTTAATGGGCTATTGTCAAATTTTAACTATTATTCTCCGAATGAAAATGGGCGACAGAAAATACAAACATTCTCACGTTTACACCCACTCATTAGCGAAATACAAAATTTTGACAATCAACTCGCAGCTGATTGAAAATAAAAAATTTGTAATAAAATAAAAAAGTAAAAAATCAATGTAATGCATGTTGTAAGTCACCGTGCTCCGTTTGAAAAAATGTGGGTGTGTGTTCGTCTCTTTACATAAAAAACCAAAAAAAAAAAAACGGTAAGTGGCATTCCTAGGTTTCTTATCCATATCTACATAGTTGCAATGAAAAAAACTTTAATACAAATCTTTTATTATTCTATATTCTCAGGCCATTTTATGGGGGAAAAGGCTTCGCGATGCATTTTGTTAATGAAAAAAAACTTTTTTTTTAATTTTAATTCAATTCAGTTTTAAAACTTACTAAATTTTATAATTCGCTTTGTTTTGAGCGTCAGACAGTCTAATAAACAACTATACATATTTATGAATAAAATAAGTTAAGTCGGAACTTCAATGCCATTACCCCTTAGGAATGTTCTGTATCGAAAAAAAATCTTTATTTTGAAATCAAAAAAATATTTATTTCTATTTTCGTAGAAATGGTATAGAATTTTTGAAAATCAATATTTTTTCGTTCGTCAAACTCTGGTTCTCTTCAGGAGCCTTCTAATAACAATACCCAATTGCTTGTATAACCATTTTTTAATACTAAAGATTTTCTGGCAGGACTTGGCTGACCTATAAAATATAGTTACTATGAAAAACTGGTTAAATAAATAATTGAGTAATATTATAGGGAGTCTCCTGAAGAGAAACAGAGGATGTCCGATCGAAAAATATTGATTTTCAAGAATTCTAAAGGGGTACATTTTTTCGGTATAGATTAATCCTGGTGGTGAGAGTATAAAAATTCCGACTTTACTTTTTCACATGTATTTTTGAACCACCGTAATTGCTTATATCGCACACCGTCTTCAAAAGGACACAACTCAAAATTACATTATTGTCAGGAAATGCGAAAAACTATTTCTTAGCACATGATAATCATATGGGCCTGGGTGACTTAAGCCTAGGTTTTTTTTTCAACAAATTATAACAAAAATTTGCTCCAGCTTTTGCTGAAAGGTAAATAAAAGCTCTGTGTACAATTTTAGCGCATAATTTCATAAAATGCCAAATTTCGAGTTGTGCCTCTTTTGCAGATGGTGTGCGATATGTACATATGTGCATATATTGCTAGCCAAGCAGCTTTAGTCCGCTTCCTGCAACAATTTTTGCCTTTAGCTGAGTTAGTACACACTCGGAGGCGGAATTGATCGCTTGTAAATTTATAGTGTTTGGCGGCGTTGGTTACCGGAAAATAAGGATTCTATAAGTAAATAAAAAATGAAGAGTTAAAAAATTTAATAAAAATGTCATAGAAAATCATGCGAAAATGTTAAGAAATATTTATTGTTTCTAGTGCATTATAAAAAACGCGCTCGAGACGTTGTGAAAAATTCCTAGCGTACAAATGTGTCAAATAAATAAACGCGCTACATATTAAAAACAAAAAAAAAATATTATTATTTAATCATTTTCATAGAAAATACACCTATATGTACATATGTACATGTGTGTGTACACTTGTGAAATTCAAATGCAATTAATGAATTTTTACCTCTGTGCCTAGTGAGCTAGCCTGTGTATACACCTGAGTGCGCAAAAGTATGTGCGGAAGCACACAGTGTTTGTTTCCTCTCGGCACCTTTTTGGCGAGCAGCGACAAAGCGAAACAGCCACCGCGCGCGATTTAATAGCACATACCTACATGACGAAAATAGCAATGATCGCACTATTTTTACGTTTGAGAAATTTTCGAAAATTTTAAGATATTTTTTCTCTGCTTATTTTTTTTTTGTGGAGAATACGACATACACTATGTGCAAAAAGTATGCCTCCAGCGCGGTCGAATTTTACTTAAATGTGTAAGAAAAAGTAAAAAAGTTTTCAAACAAGAAACAAATATTTTTTTTTGTCGCTTGCGCTGCGTGTGAAAAATACAATTTTTTTGATACATACATACAACATACGAATGCAGCTGCAACATATGTATGTTCGGTGCTGCAATAATTTTCAACGCCACTGTGCGCACATCAAAACGTTGATAATATATTTTATGCGTTTCCAAAAATAACAAACGTCGGAAATTTTCTTCAGGATAATTTAGTCAGTTTATTTTATGCCGTTGCCGCTGCCAGTACTGTCTTGTGTGGAACGTGAAAACGGAAAATTACGCGAATGAAATTACTTTGTGATGAAAAATATGTACGATATGTATTTGTTGAAGTGAAGTGAAAACTAAATATATTATATACAGATGTACACTTATATACGGAAATAAACAACGAATAGAAAACTAAAACTAAAATTTGAATAGCACAGCTGAGCTTTCAGAGTTTATTAAAAAAAAAATGCTAAAAAAAATTTGTAACAATTTTTGTCAAAAATCAATGATTTATTAAACTAAAAAATTCCACACCAAATACTTAAAAGAAAAAATACTTTTAGTTTTTAGCTAAAAAATGTTTTGGCTTCTGCTTGATTTTTGAAAATCATTAGCATTGGTTTTCAAAAGGTATCGCCTTCGCTGAGAAAAATATATTTTTTTGTAATAATACAATGCAATTGAATTAAGTTAAATAAAAATTTTCTCAGCAAATACCCAATTTAGATAAGTTTTTTTTTTTTTTTTAATATGTATTTTACTTCTTCGAGTTAAGAAAAAAGTACCAAAGTCATTGAAAGGCTATTTTCAATTGTCGAAAAAAAAAAAAAAAACAAAAACGAATGTGCCCATTTCCCTAGAAATCGCAAAGGTAAAAGGGAGCACTTGACAAATAACCGAAATTCTTCGCATCACTCTTGAACAACGACATCGACAACTAAGTACATTCAAACGCACATGCTAACACAAAGATGTTCTAAAAATCCAACACTGCATTTTTCTTTCTTTAACAGTTAGTGTGGTGTGGTGGTGATAGTGCAACGAGCCAAAAATCTTAAAATATTTCAAAACAAAAAATTCAAATAAAAAATAATAATAATTAAAAAATAAACCGAAGGAGAAAACGCACACAAGACGAAGCACAAATCTTTATTTTTGGATTGTTCACTTAAGTCAAACATACATATATGTATGTATGTATGTATGTATGTACAAACACTTTGAAAAATTTGGATGTGCTGCAGCAGTGGTGACTGGCATTTTGAGTTCTAGCAGAAACGCATAAGGAAACGCGCGCACGCATGCACACACACACACACACACACACGCTCACCAATTTAGTAGTGTAATACAGATTTTGTGTAGAGAGTGTGCAAAAAATCAAAAAAAATTCCGCCCCGAGTTGGTGCACTCACTCAAATTTAGGCCGATTCCATTTCCGCCGTACAAACGGGTAAGCATTTTAGTTTTTTTTGAGCAATGATATTAGCTTTTCAGTTCAAATGGGAGCTTAACGAAAATTTTTCAAACTCATTTATTTTAAATGTTAAAATAATAAAAATGTCTCTTTGTGTTCATTAAATACATACCTGTATGTACCATGAGCATATATGTATTTCCGATAGGTAAAAAATGTATTTTAATTTTAAGCATTTAAGAAAAAAAAAAATCGAAAAAGTTAACGGAAAAATTAACAGCTAAATACTTAGAACTAATCCAACTTGGCTAATGTCGCTTCGCAGCTGTGGCCTTGGTTATGGTTTAGTGCTGTTGATATACATACATACTATGTATGTATGTATGCACAAATATCCAAATTTACTTATGTGTGTGAACATTAGAGCGACCGAAATGATTGAGGAAAATCTTAAAGTTCTTACACTCTTTGATTTACCGGCTGGTTTTAATTCCCTGACTACTCAAATATAAATACGAAATGTTTGTCCAATTGACTTAATCTTAATGGACTCAATGAGAAATTTAAAATTAAAGCATATCGAAATAGCGATTTTTTAAATTTTTTTATCAACCGGGTAAAAATAATAGGGGCAGCCGAGAGTTGTTGCCGCTTAAGCTCACTCCACAGTTACCACTGTCAACTGACTTTTCTGGAGACATCACACCATCAAAAACTATTCTAAAAAAAATTGAATTTAGATATTGTTTTAAATTGGAAAAGATGAGCCTTGAAAACATCGAAAGTCTAAAAACTTCTACTGAACTACTAGTATAAAAATAGCCCTATTCATAAAATCTAAAGTAAATTTACGAAAGGTGTATAGATTGAAGAATGTATGAAAACGTCAATTTTTCAGCGGTAGCGGTAGCGGTAAAAGCCGGTGAATTAAAATTGCAGAGGTTTTAGAATATGTGCCACCTTAATGGGTATTAGAATGCCTCACGCTGCATACACAAAAAAAAAAAATAAAAAAAAAAACGGTTCTCCTTCGCCACAGTAACTAACAAAAATATTTTGTATTGATTGGGTGTCATTAGTTAGCTGAATCGCTTTGGAAGTAGTAGTGGTAGGAAGTTGATATTCTTTTATAAATAAGATATAACAAAATTTGTCGAAATGATTTCTTTTATTTCCGTATTTTTTAGTCTTTGGCATTTTTTCATGAAGCACAATATTAATTATTAACTGCGTGGTTCCCCTCTTGCAACACAAGATGTGCATTTCAAAATTTTTCATGACTTTTTCGACATGAAAATCGCTCAAGATTTGGCAGAGTTACTCAAATTTCCGTAAGGATTGCATAAAAAGTTGCCGAAAATTGCAAAAAGAAATTGCTATTACTTAAAACATTGGGACGTTTTTTGTTTTAAATTTGATGTAGACCAAAAATTAATTTTGGGACAGTTATAAAAAAGACCAAATGATCTACTGATACATCCTAATGCAGATGCATATTTACATATGTATGTTTGTTGTATGTGTCTTTTGTCTAACAATATTAAACATACATACATACATAAATCTTAAAAATATATGTACATATGTTTGCGTAGAATTTGCAAAATATATTTCTTAAAATAACTAATACAGAAATAATTATGTGATTTTAATTTAATCTTTAAAATCAAAGTACTTTCTCATCTGTTCATGTCCCAGCTGTGGGCACTAAAGTATGCACGTATATACATATGTATTTATGTATTATACCTATATAGTCAAAACAAGCTTACGCCTACGCAAATAACACATTGTACATAAAACAATGCATCAATTAGTTGGACATTTTATTTTATTTACTTTTTTTTCATCTTTTTTTCCCCCTTCTTCTTGAGCTCGTTGAGCATCTCCGTACTGATGTTCCTTGCGATTGATCATTGTTACTTATAGTGTGCAATATAAAGCGACACATAGCTAAATATATATATGTATATATGTATAAAAAAAAATGCTTATGTATGTAGTACAAACTTTAAAGTAAAATTTACTTGCAGCAGATAGTTCGTCGAGAACCAATTGAAATCTACTTTGGCGCGGTCATGGCGATGAGCTGTCATTTTGCGTCAGTTCAATGCCAATGACTTTTATTTAATGCAATTTCTTCGCTAATTCTTTAGTTAGTATGTATACGGATACATATGTACATATGTACACACAGCGCACACATATACATATATACATTTTAAATACAGTAATACATATAATTTTGTTAGCACCTTAAACAAATCCAGAAAGCATTTCCAATTCACGAAAGCAATTTAATTGAAATTTAAGTGCCAATAAAGAAGAAAAATAAGAAGAAGAAGAATTAAGTGAAACATGATTTTAGTTTTTTGAATTTTATACGGAATATTGATAGAAAATAAAAAAATCGTTTTTAAATTTAAATTGCTGGTGAAACTGGATGTAAATCAACGAAAGCTAAATAAATATCTTTCAGTATTATTTTATCAACATAAATATCATCATCTCTCCTTGCAATTATGTAACGCTATTGGACGTTGTCGTCTTGCTTTACGCCGATTATGTTGAACTTGTCTTGGTTACATGAAAACCGGCTAAAAATTTTGTTGCCGGACTAATTTTTGAGGTATTCGTCTGTATATGAATCGTTCGTGTAGCCTATCGGTATCGATATACTACTTAATAAGGCTGTAAAGCAAGCAAAAATAAACGGAAAAATGTTATATGAGAAGCTTTTTTTAGATGTTCGGACCAGAGATCGAACCCATATCCTGCGGAATTCTAACACTCACCCCTAATCAATCAGCTACAGCGGTTGATATATGTGTTTATAAAATGTACCTTTTTCTTATCAAAATTTTTAGTATAAAACAAGGCTCAGGATATATATATCCT